TCGCATAGATATCTCGAGCTTTATGTCGCTCTCACGCAAGTCGTACCCTATCGTGCTAACCCTACTGGATGTGACAAAATGAGTTCATGTTATGGTTTGCATATTGATGTGATAAAACTTAAGAATTTCTTCTTTCAAATACCGTCCTACAATTATTATACACGTAAATAGAAGTACTTAATTTTAATTACACACGTATTAAATACAATACGTGCACATTTTACCCACATAATTCATATATTAAGGCATATTTCGAAATCGTAATTAATGCTGTACTTATCTATAATGACAAACAATTATTCGACCACGCCTAAGGTGTAGTTGGGTATCGATTTATTTTCAAGGTCGACAATTAGGCACTTGTTGTGTAAATGCGTCACATTCACCTTGGACCTACTTTATTGAGAAATCAATTTCAATTACAAATGTCAAAATAGATTTTCTTTCACGATATCAAGTGACGGGACGAATAAGTCGTCCGCCTGGTGGTAACTAACACGCCTGTCCATAACAGGGCTCCAAGTCTGCTAATTTTAAAACATGTCAATTGTCGATAGAGTGTCAATGGTAGCAATTTATACGTTTGTAATTTTTTTTTTATGATATAAAATGACAGGGCGAACAAGTCGCGTGCCTGATGGTGAGCTTCACGCCTGTCCATAACAGTTGCAGTGCCACTCAGAGCTTTAAATTACAAAGATCTGAGGGACCTGACACTGCCACTGGGCCTGTCACCCTGAGACACGAGTTGACAAGGCCCATGTGCCTGTAATTTCACCAGCACCCTTACCCTTCAAAATCGGAACGCTGTAGCATTACTGCTTACCTATTTCTGCCGCCAAGTAATAATGTGAGCATTTACAGTACTGCTTGGCGGCAGATATAGGTAAGGTGGCAGTACTTCCCTAAATGAACTCTTTCACAAGGAGCTCTACTGCTACCATGGAAAATATCTTAATTTCCATTTATCTTAATTTTTATCTTGTGAAAGAGTTTACATACTGAATTGGTCCATACCAATAACACCCTGTATTC